TTTTGAGCAGCAAAAGAAACAATGAACAAAGTGAAAAGAAAAAACAATGGGAAAAATTTTGTCAGCTATTCCTCAGATAGAAGACAGATATCTAGAATATATAAAGAACTCAAAGAGAGTAGATCCACCAAAATGAAAGACCCAATCAAAAAACTGGGCAAGTGACATGAATAGACATTTCATAGAAGCACATATGGCCAATAAATACAAGAAGAAATGCTCAACACCACTGTCCACTAGAGAGATGCAAATTAAAACAACACAGATTCCACCTTCCTCCAGAAAGAACAGCCACCGTCCTGAAATTAAACGATAACAAATGCTGGGGAGGCTGTTTTGAAAAAAGAAACCCATCCACACTGTGGGTGGGAGTGTAAACTAGTACAGCCACTCTGCCAATCAGGATGGAGGTTCCTCAAAGAACTAAGACTAGAAATTCCATTGAGCTAGTTTTCTTCTGCTAGGACCTTCCTGAAAGAGTTGGAGACATCATATCGCAGTAACCAACACTTACCCTCATTTACAGCCCACAACTCATAAGAGCAAGCCTCAGAAGCAGCCCATGGCCACCACCAGATGAGGGGTTAGAGAATGTGGTGTTTACACACAATGGAGGACGCTTGGCCATCGAGAAAGACAAACCTGAGTCATCTGCAGGAAGTGGATGCACCTTGAGACAACAATGTAAAGTGAAACAAATCAGACACCTAAGTTTAAATAGCACATGGTTTATGCGATAAGATTGTACATGAAGAGCAAAGTAAAAGGTAGATAACAGGAAGTAGGGAGCAATCTTTTGCAGATGGGAAGGGATAAGAGGCTGAGGGAGGGGGAGGTAAAGAGGGCAAGGAGACAGAGAAAGGAACGAAGATGTGTTATGTGCACGTACCAACTCCACACCAGGAATATAAATTCCATGTACTGCAAACACGCACTAATAGAAACCATTTTCAAACATAAAAACGGGAGAAGCCTGGGGATATAGCTCAGGGGCAGGATGCTTGCCTAGCATCAGAAAGTTCCTGGGTTCAACCCACAGCACTACAAAAATAAAAATGAAATGGGAAACAACTTCTACTGCAAGCCAGGGGAGGCAACCCCGTAACCCCAGCACTCAGGATTCTGAGGCAGGGGGTCACACCTCCAGGCCAGCCTTTGGTTTAGGGGTCCTGGCAGCAGAGAGAGGAGGAGCTCTAGGGAGAGTGAAGCTTGCTCCCGCTGCTCCAGCTGTGAGGTTCTGCAGGCTGCACTTCACGTGCCCAAAGCCACCAAGCCACAGAGTGCAGGCTGAGTCACCCAGGGTGGACTCCGGACTAGAATGGCAAACTGCATCCCAGCCGGGGAAGGGACGGAGCTCCAGCCCTGCCCACCTTGGGCAGCACCCGCCTCCCTCCTCCGGCATCTTTGGGGCTTGCTGGACTGCGCCATGTGAAACAGTCGTGTGGATTCTCACAGTGGCTTGGCTCCTCCAGCGGGGCGGACAGGCATCCGGCCGTTCCAGCAGTAGCTATGGATTTCCCACAGACAGCAGCGGTCCCTCAGGACGGGTGCCGGACACCTTCCAGGAGTGTGTGTCGCCTTCATGTCCCTGTGGAGCCCTCCCAGGCCAGAGCTCGGCAGCCAGGCCACAGAGGCCGATGCTTTGAGGTGCTAAACAGATCCTGGCCTTTCACGATGTGATGTTGGGGGTGAGAAGAAATGCACACCCTGCCCTCCAGGGCAGGTACCTCATGGTCTCTGGTTTTGTCCTGAGTTCCACTGACATCTTAGCAGAGTGGGGCTTAACTTTCTACTCAGGTCGTACATTTGCTTCCCAAGAGGAAGCTTCAGGACCTGCCCTCTGCAGTGGTTCTCATGACAAGGAGCTGAAGTCCTTCTCTCCCAGCTGCTGGTGACTCTTCAGAGCGGGCCCACTGGCCTCCTTTCCCTCTCTGCTCAGTTTCTAGGTCAGCTATGCTTTGCAAACTCTCGATACTCTTGAGCTCTGAGTGACGAGCTGCTGCCCACTCACCACTGCTACCTGGATGTCCTGCTGAGCCCCAGACTGTGTCCTCCAGGGCATGCATGGCCACCCCCAGGTATCCTGCCTTTAGATTCCATGCCCTGGCCCACCGCTCAGCCGGTCCTCTTCCTGCCATGCGCTTCCTGCACAGAGCTGACCGATAACATCTGCCTTCTTCACATCTTGCCACCTTCTCTTCTCCCTGCCTACTGCTGAGCACCAACCACAGCCCCAGGGGTCCCGGCCTACACTGCTGGTGACACTGTCCTGGCTTCCAAGTCCTGTCCTGTGTCTCCCCATCCAGCCTCCAGGAAGCTTCTGGAAGGATGCATTTCTGGGCCAGTGATGCTTCTCTGCTTTGAATACTGTATTCCACAGCGCCCCTGCCTGGAGAGGATGAGATTGTCTCAGCAGAGCCCCTGAGGCCTCCAGAGCCATCCCCGGCCTCAGCCTCCTGTCCCGCTCTCCCCTCAGCCTGTGTTCCAGCCTCGTGCGGTGCCCTTGGCCCCCCCGTATTGTGCTGTCCTGCTGGTGCTTCGTGGCACAGGGTGGGCTTTCTCCTGCCCCTGTGCATCTGAGCACTGTTCCTTCTCTCCTTATGCTTAGTGGTGACTCTCCTTGTCCTCACCTCTCAGGCTTCTCCTGACACTCCCACTCGATGGGGTCCGGATGTGGTTTGCATGCATCTCTCACAGTTCCTGGGCTGAGATCTGTCCCCGTTGTAAGGTGCTCAGAGCGTAGACCTGATCTGACTATGCAGTCTGGAGGTGGGCTTTGGGAGGTGACTGGGACTAGATAAGGGTATGGGTGGAGCCTGCATCTCTCTCTCGCACACATGTGCACACACATGGCTCTTTCTTACAGTGTGATGCTCGCATGCCCTAGGAACTCAGTCAAACATGGCCCTTGACCTTGGGCCCGCAGAACTATGGGCTGAAGTGAACCACTTTTCTTTATAAAGTTCCCCACTCCACGGTATTGTGCTTTTGGCTACAACAACAACAAAAAATATAGGCACTGGCTGAACCATCACGCGGTTTCTCCCCTGGACACACAGCAGGCCTAGAGGACATGATCTGTGTCTTGTTCGTCTCAGGGCTTGCACACAGCAGGCTGCAGTTACTATTTTTGAGTGAACAAATGTATGAAGGATGACTGATAGTTCATTTACCCTTCAATGACTCAATTTCTTCCTCAAAGGCCACAGAAACTCAAGTTATTTCAAATAACAGCTGCGTTGCAGGAAGAGCCAATTTCCTGGAAACATATATTAACCTTTTAACATTTTTTAATTCACTGGCCCAGAAAAGTTCCGCAAGTTGTTGTTAATTCTATTATTCAATGGCTGCTTATTCACATTTTTTTCTCCTCCCTTTTTCTTAATGCAAAGCCTGTTCCACAGCCCCACAGTAATTGTTATCCATGGAGCCCTGCTTCTGTCCCGCCTTGGGTTTGACACCAAACCACATTCAGTTCTCACTGCTGCTGCAGGAGACAAGTAAAGAATGCTTACACATACCAACATATCGGACGGAGCAAGTCTAAATACTTGTTAGTGAGTTTTTCAGAAAGCTTAGTCAGGGAGAAGTTTCAACTGCCGGATTTTAATGAACTTTGTTGTGGATCTCAATTACCCACTTTGGTCTTGGTCTCCTACCACTGTGGTAAGAGACAGCTGAATGTATTGCAGCCAGGACTTTATTAAAAGCTCTGGGAATGTTCCTGGATTTTGCAGGCAGAAAAATCAGTCAGGCCAGTTGGAAAGAGAGGAGCTAATATAAAAAGAAAGAGGAAGTGAAGGGAAAACTTGAGAAGAAAAAGCACAGAAAATTAGAAAGGCCATGTGGGAGAAAGCACAGGGAAATAGAAAGAAAGACAGAATAAGGAAGAGGGAGAAAAATGAGGAGGAAAAAATGGGAAGCCAAAGTCCTACTCGTTTCTTGTAGTTATAAATGGAAATAGGGAAGCTCTGCAGATAGCCGCAAAACACGATATTCTTCTACCCCAGAGTCAGGCTCCTGCTAAATGGTTTCAGGGAATAATTCCTCATCATCTGCTCAGGATCTTACTTAGAACTTAAATGACTTATGGATCAATTGAGTGAAAATCCTCCCCGCCACAGGGCCACATTTTCCCTATCAGTTTAATAAGAAGTTGGCAAAGGACCGATGTTTACTGGGGGGTTGCAATAAGCACAGACACCAGGGTGAGTTTCAAGCCCGTCTGTGGACGAGGAAGCTCGGAAAGCAGGCTGGGATGGCACAGGGGAGTCAGCTGCTCCCCCTCTCACGCAGCAAGTACGGTTTTGATAGATTTCTAATATGTACTTCAGATCGGAACTGCATACTAATGCTCTGTCATTCTCGGCCACAGATTCTGCATGACAGCACTTGCCTCAAAGATATTTTTCCATCACAATTTTTCAATTTATTCTGGTCTAAAGAATGTATATAAATGAAAACAAAATTTGAACATGGCGTCCCTTCCAGCATTGTGTCTGTGTCTCCAGGGACCGTGCAGCCCCCGTTCATCTCCCCTTTTCTGGCGAATGGCCTCACTTCCTGACTACAAAACCATGAGACATCTGCCCGGTTTTCAGGCCCTCCTCCCAATCCTCTTTATTTTTCACCTCTTTTTGATCTAAAACCCTAAAGCCTTTCGGAGAATTCAGATTGGCTTCAGGATTCGAGAGCTGTTCTCTCCCTCCGCCCCAGAATACAGCCCCCGGAATGGTCGCTCGGAGCCCTCTTGTCTCTGCTTGGGAAGAGCTGAACCAGGCATCTTACCTTCAATCACTACAACAGCTTAGGTCTCCTCAGAGGCTTGGAGAAAACATATTTACCCAGGGAACTCAGGATTCCCGTGGAGTAATTTGTGTACACTTCAACTTGCAGGGATTGGAGAGCCAGGGGCCGCCTGGGTTAGCGTCTGAACTCTCTTCATCTTTGCTCCTTTCTCAGAATGAGGGCTGCTAAGCCCACAGAGAAGCCGCCCTTACCTTCCGGGGTTTCACTTTATCGTGGTAGTCGTACTGGAAGATTCCTTTGTAGCTCAGTCCCAGCCACCAAGGTATTCCCTGCTTGTCCTAGGACACCAAAAGGAGTACAGGTAAGTAAGGGGCTGGAGAAGATGAGCATGGACTGAGGGGACATTTCCTGGCTCACATAAAGAGGAAAAGCGCAACTTCCTTGGTGTGGATGGAGCCCACCTGGCTGTCTGTACCTCAGCAGATGTGTGTCGTGGAAGAGGCTGTCAGCCACATGAACGGGGCGGCAGGCACAGAGCCCCAGGCTGGAACAGCTCTGTCCTAACCCACACCACAGCCACAGCACCATCCCCTCTACAGATAAGGAGCAAATGCTGTTTCTCTCCTCCAGGATGAGCCCCTCATACACCACACAAACACTTGAGAGATACTGAGCTTTCTGACAAAATGAAGGCTGTTTTGAGCAGAGAAACTGCCACTGGGATTGCCAGAGCCAGACAGGACCCTGGAGATCATGAGACAGGGTCCCTTCTTTGTAGAACTCAAAATGGAGGGCTGGGGATGTAGCTCAGTGGTGCTGCTGCCTTGCCTGGCAAGTGCAAGGTCCTGAGTTCTATTCCTGGTACCAGAAAAAAAAAATCAAGTGGAGTTGGCCCAGCTTTCCTCATATCCGGACAGCAAGCCAATGCATCACACGTCACCCGGGGTCCCTGCACCCCAGGGACAGCTGGGTGCCATGTAGGACTTCAGGACTCATGCTGCTGAACACAGTACCAGACACCCTCAGGACTGAGCCAGGAACACCAGGAGCGCAGTTTACTCGTTCATAATGTCACTTGAGTGGATGCGGCAAGTCTCTATTCAGAGAGCGTGATGCTGAGTTGTTTGTTAAAGCTCTCGAATGCTAGGATTTTATGTAGGAAGACTAAGCAGCCTTTCCCAAGATTTATGCAAACTGCTACATCCCCAAATAACTTTATATAGTTAACATTATGGTGTCTCAAAAACTCAAAATTAGCATGATGATTTCCAACTACCTTGCGTCTGAGTTATTCAGGGTAAATACAAAGATAAAAGGCAAAAGAAAGAAATTCTGGAGGTGTATTTAAAGTTTCAAGGGTACATGATTTCTTTCTTTCTTACTTTTCTCTGAAGATTTCACCCAGAACCTTCCACAGGCTAAGTGCATGCCTTACTGCAGAGCCACCCACAGCCAAAAATGTAGGAGTTGTATAAGATCTTAAGCCCCTTCCTTTGGGAAGTCCCAACATCACTGCGCCACCAGACTGACCTGGTTTGTGATGACGGCACACGGCACATGGGCACCAGTGGGGCACAGGGCCACACAGCAGCCAAGCAGTGAGCGCGATGCAGGCCGCACTATTTCAACCAGGGGCTCCGTTGCCAGTGTCAGCAGAGTGATCATTTCCTGAGCTTTGAGACCATATGCAGTGGGGACTTTGAAAAGTACAAGCCCCTCCTGGTCTCCAAGAGACTGAGAAGACAGCACTTTGGGAAGGTTTTATGGGAAGGAAGAAAGCAGGACCATCAGAGGCAACCTTAATATTAAATTCTGGGGCAGCCAAAAGGAATGGGCCACAGGTGCAGTCCTGTGTAAAGACTGGATGAAGCTTCCTGTACCACACACTGCCTTCAACATGCAGAAGGTCTGATGAAGGGGGTTGGGGAGGCAAATATCTTATCTCTTGCAATGACAAGAGACACAACTGAACTCAAATTCAGAACAAAGATTAAGCTAGAGAATGTCACCTGCTCCTGACACTCTGGCTCAGGCTTGTGCAGAACAGGGCTGGCCACGGTGGTCACATGAGTTCCACGGTGAAGAATTAAGAGCTCCCGCTGTCAGGAAGAACTCGGGTAGGACATCAGGAACAACTTCTTAAAGGGATCCTGAGCTAAACTGCTGGATGGGACTGGAGTCCCCACAAGTGCCCAATGGCTCTGGGCTCCACAACTGAGAATCCAACCCTCATTCCTCATTCAGGAAGTGCACACAGCCAACCACTCAATTCTCAACTCAATTCTTAGTACACATTTCACTCGGTCCACGATTACTGGGCAACTACGTGTCAGGTGCCACGCCTGGTTCTGGGAAAACGCCACAGAAGGCAACACTGGTCTTTGCCATCTAAAGTCTGCAGTTTAGCAGAAGATACATGCAATTCAATGCGTATCAATGGCATACAAAGTGTTATGCAGGTTTCCAAGGATTACATAGAATAAAGGAAGCCAAAAATTTTTAAAAAAATACAATGGGGAGGAAATGTAGGGAAAGACACTGTAAAAGAGCAAGAGAATCTCATGTTGGCTGGCGGAACTGTCCTGGTTGAAAGTATCTTCAATTCTTTTAGGCTGAACTTCAGGTACTCACTTAGGGATTAAGGAAGAAAGGAGATAAGACAGAGAATGTTTCCTCTTTGCAGGAAACATCTTTTCTACTTCAAAGAAGAGATCCCAGCCTGGAATACGAGGGATAAAATTAAAGAGGATTTAGAAGAGAAGAAGTATCTCCCTGGACTTGGCACTGCAGTGTTCCAGAAGACAGAGTCTAATTTCTCATGTTCACCTACTCACTTCCTCAGCCCACGACCCCAGTTCTCCCGAGGGGCTGACGACAGGCGTTTGACTATCAAGGGAAACACTTGATTCTGCTGCAAGCTTTTATTTTCTACAGAGCCATGTGTTTGAGGGAGTCTCTCTATTGTGAGGTCCTGAAGTCCTGATCTCCCCCAGATACCTCTCAGACTAAAAGGAAGCAGGGAGTTTTTACGCTGTTTCACAAAAAGGAAAACAAGTCTTGGAAAATAATCATATCAAGTCTTCACTTGATCTTAGCCAAAAGGCCAAGAAGCGATAATTACATCAAGTCTTGATGGCACAGGGGGAAATATGGTTGCCCAGTTTCCCCAGGCATGGTCCTCTTGACCAGTCCATTCCCCACCAACTCCTATTCTCTGCAAAATCTTCAGGAAGGTTTAAAACTCAGGAGTGTTCGTTTGCTTGCTTGTTGTTTAAGGGCAGGTGGGCAACCTCTATCAAATGAGTTCACTCACCTTCACAGCGTAATAGTGAACTCCATAGGTCGGGAGAGACTCCACGATGCTCATGTAGCTGCAAAGACAACAACAGACACACACACACACACACACAATGCACACGAAGGTGGTTATTTGGTGGAACTGGTACAATATATAGGGTTTTGGGGGGCATTGTGTGTGTGTGACAAAGTTCTGGGAGTGATTACTTACTCAAAAACTTAATTAAAACATCGCCTCCCAGACATATCTTTCCCAGCAGAATGGAAAACCCTGACATATGATGCATTAACACACACAAACACAATCTCTATGAGAGCTGGGAAGAACCACTTACTTCACGATAGCTTGACCTCTTGTCTGGCCATTCAGCTTCTTATAGTGCTCAATCACTCTGTCTTCACTAGAATAAGAAGGAAAGAATTCTGTCACCAGAGGCCAGGATCCTGCTGGCGGGAGACACTTCTGAGCTTGACACTGAGCTCTTAAGGAGCTCCAAGGAGCCAACAGCTCTGGGAAGGTGACTTGTTCTGAACTGACATTCCTCAACTCAGCCGAGCTAAATCACTTGGGCTGTATTAACTTACTTAGAAATATCCGTTTCCCTCAGAGGACCCGTGTGTTCCTTATGTGGGGCTTTTAATCAGTGAAATAAGATCAGCCCAGGCTTGGAGGTCCAGCTTCTGGCTGGAAATGGTAACCCCAAGAAAAGGAAGGAGCAGTCCGAAGTGGTCAGCAGCAGACACCCCAGGTAGACACTCAGGTCCCTCTTCTCATTTTCTTCATCCAGTGAGTCCTGTCCACACAGGGCCCCTGGGGCAGAAACAAGAGCTCATGGCTCACCTCCTCTGATGAACAGTCATGAAGCCAGTGCTTCCAAAGAGGAAGGAAAGTTCTGGAATTTGAGTTTGGTTAATTATGAACCAGGAGGCCACAAAAGGTCCAGAAGAACACTGGAGAGGCAACTGGAGTAGCACCAGCTACTGGAATGAGAGGGCAACTCCCTCACCTTGGAAATGTTTATTCTAAAAACCAAGAGATGCTCTGGCTCCCTGGGGACCAGGGCTGGCCGCTGTTTCTTTGAGAGAGAAGAGGGTGCTGGTGGCCGCACAGTCTGTGGAGTGTCGCACCTCACAGCCTCAGATAGGGCCTTGACTGTGATTCCTCACTGCCTCCTCCCCCGCACAGCCACAGGCAGGGACCTTGCTGCCCCCATGAAGGCTCCAGGTGTGAGTGTGTGACTGAGGGGTGCTCTCAAGACCTCATGAGCCATCTTTATGTCTGTCAGGAATTCACCGTCTGTAACTTATCCGAAGCCTTCTCCCACGACTTTCTTGTTTTCTTCTTTTAGCTAGGTCATCTCTGGGGGTAACTCACTTGTTTGTTCATGACTTAGTCCCTGGGGGAATTTATTTATTTCTCAATTACCATGGTAATCTTTAATTCATACCATTTAATCTTAGTATCTGAAATGTGGAGTGGGAGAGGCAGAATTCTCCCCAGGCAACTGTCCTTTCAGGTGCCAGGACAAGGCCTGGCCAGCGGGAGACTGGCTTCTGAGGAGCGGGGCCCCACTGCCCTGGGAGGAGCAGACGCGGTGGCATTTCCGGACTCCGCGCTCTGGGGTCGTCCTAGCCACCGTGGCCAAGTCCTGCAAACCTCCAGCTCCCGAGGGCCATCCTCTGTAGTGTCGGACGGCACCTTCGGAGTGCTGTCACTTGGCATCGCTTTTTTGGCTTCCTCCCCATCCACCCAGGACATCGATAGCTGTGCCATTCCATTTCCTGCCTTGTGACTTGGGAGCCCTAGTCGACTCCTACGTCAGCGTCAAGCAACTCAATGCATATGAGTCTAATGCGTCTGCTTCTTTTGCAACTTGGGAAAGAAAGTCCCCGGGGAGAGGTGGGACCACGACAGTCAGTATGGTGTGCGGTCGTGGACAGAGGCAGACTCAGGAACACATCAAGGAAGCAGAGTCCGAAGCTGTTCCGCTGTTTCCCTAGGAAACGGCCTGACCAGGGTCTCACGGCACCTGACAGCTGCAGAGGTGGCTGCCATCTCACACTGTCCCTGCATGTCCCGTTGCCGCAGTGGCTACCTTCGCCTGCCTCAGCCTTCTTGCTCCTCTCACCATTTAGACGCCAGCTGTCACGCGGTAACATTCACCGCTGGCTGGGGCCCCGTCCTGCCCAGACTGAGCCCATCCCTCTGGACTGCACAGGGCTGGGTGCTCTGAGCGCTGCAGACTGGGTCCCAGTGCCTCGGCCTGCTGTGGTAGGAACGCGAGCCCAGGGTCACAATGCCCAACAAGTGCTGCTACTTGGAGGAAAAGGACACAGGACCAGGGCAGCCCACATCCTGCCTGGCCCAGGGATGTCAGGAAGCCCAGTCGCCTTTCCCCAATGAGGTGGCATGGGGAGCACGTGGGGGTGGAGGGGAAAAGGGTGGCAGCAATGTCTTTCCTGGCTGGGGAGCCGTCAGCTGGCAGCGGTCAGGCTTTGGGTTAAGGACAGGGTCTTTGCATTCCCAGAGGTGCCAGGCGGCAGGGTGGCACTGCCCAGCTAGGCCCCTCGCCCCTCGCTCTGATTTTCTGCATCCGACACTGTGTCCACAGGAAAGCAGGTGGGAGAAGCCCAGCATCGTCGCGTACCCCGCACCACTTTCCGGCACATTCTCTGACTCCTCCCTCTCCTGTTACAGTCTGAAGGGGCTGGTGTGGAAAACTCAAGGCAGCAGAGAACTAAGGAAAGGCACAGGCCGCAGGACCTCACTGAGGCCGGCTTGTGCAGAGGCAGTGGAGGCAGAGAAGCCAGGGAGCAGGGACAGCCACAGCTGGGGAATGAGCTGGGGCCGAGACCAGGCACAGAGGAGCGCAGAAGGCCTCCCCTCTGGGAGGCGCCCGGTCAGCCGCCACTGCGGTGGCCCTGAGAGGAGGGAGACACGGAGTCCAGGCCACAGCTTGGCCCACGCTCACTCTACACACGAACACCAATGGCTTCCCTTCCTCAGGGCTCTGCTTTTAGAATGTGAGCGAGTGGGCTGGGGCATCAGAACTGAGCACAACGGAGTAAGGTGAAAAGGCGTGCGTGTGCTTTTGTGCTAAACACTGAACCCAGGGTCTTCACACTGAGCTACATTCCTAGTCCTTCTTTTGGTATTAGGGATCGAACTCAGGTCCTTGTACTAAATCCCTGGCCCTTCCTAGTCCTTTTTTAATTTTTATTTTGAGACGAGGTCTTGCTAAGTTTCTGGGTTGCCCAGACTGGGCTTGAATTCGTAATTGTTCTGCCTTAGCTTTCCAGGGTGCCCGTGATGCAGGCATGCACCTCATGCCTGGTTTTCTTTAGTTTCTTAAAAGCATCATCAGGGTGGCTCGTGCCTGGGAACAGCTGCGTGTGGGGCTGTGAGGACCTGGCCCCTGTCCGGCCACCCTCTCGCTGCATCCGAGAACTTTGGGGTCTGTGAGGCCCAGGAAAGCGCCGATCTGCTCACAAAAACAAGATGTGTTGGCCACACAGCTGTGGGTGTGGATGCCACCAAGAGGCTAGTAACAGTGTGTGCGCAGAGATGCAGATGACGAAGAAAAGACCCAGAGACAGACAGACAGAACTGGAGTTCATAGTTCAGAAAGGTACACGGTACAAAGGAAACAGATGAAGAGATGGCTAAGGGCTGGGTGGGGCCCAGGGCAATTTTGACACCAGACTCCCTGTGCTCGAAGCCCCGACAGCAAACTCATCCTCCCACATACTTGGTGTGTGCGTGTGGTGCTGAACTGAACCTGGGCCTCTGCATGCAGGGCAGGCGCCGTGCCACTGAGCTCGGCCCCAGCCGTTCCCCTTCCCGGGAAACCCCCGTCTCCTGGGTTCCCGTCTCACACCCCCCAGCTCCCGCACGCCGATTCTG